GGGGGGGGAGGGCACACCTGGCTTGTATGTCCTTTAGTTTATAATGGGACAGGCTTGATAAGCATTTTTCGCAGTCTCCCCTCCTTGGCTTTCCCTGCTCCGATTGCAATAAAACGACAATCCCACCGTACGCGGGATGAGATGCAGTGACTGATGAAGCTATACGATCTGTTTATGCTTGCCACAAACGATCTGATCACAAATACTTGTACTGGGCTTATCTAAGATTGGCTTCGATCTCGCGTGCGGGAGAGTACCGTGACGACAAAATTACGAAAGAGTCATCCCGGTTCTCATAAGGTGCGAGTTATCCTGTCATTGGATAAAATTCCACGTCACCACCCATTGCACGTCATGATTTATTCCAGTGCGTCAGATTAATTTTAGTGAGAAGTGTGCTGATCTGCCGCGGTGATGGATTCGCCAATTTCAATCTCCCTCTCACTTTCCTTTTCGGCTGTCCGAGCCTGTCAGGCAGCTAAGGATGGCATTGAGTGCTGAGTGGCGGAAAAAACCAAACAGCCCGTTCACGTGTGCCATACGTGACCTGTCTCCGTTTCATATATACCAGACCACATCAAAGGAAATTCGTACCACTTGCGTGAGAAATGCGTGTTCTAATACGCGCCGTTTTCTCAACATATCGGCAATGACAAAGTTGATCGTAAGCGTTGTGTAGGTGTAATGCAAAGTGCGTTACCGAGAGTTGCCAAGTTTAGTAGAGGGCGGGTCTGTTTATAGGTAGGGTGAAGCGTCGTGCTGTGGGCTAGCACATGTTCCTTTTGTTAAGATTCTCATGGATGCGCGTGTGACAGAATGTCCGGAGTGGTTTGGACAGATGAGGTGTGGCTAACGGCAACTATGTCGGATTTCCTAGCTCTGGTATGCCGGTATCAGTGCGATGGATTCGCAGGTGACCGATCAGACTGATGTAACACACTCACTGGAGCCTTCGGACGCCCTGCGCATCGACGTGCACTGCTGCGCATTCAGCTTCAGCTGCTGTGCTTACCAGTACTTATTCGCGATACCCTTTTAGTACTCTCCGCGTGAGTGTTAGTACTTCTTCCGCGAATAGGAACACTTGGGTAGCCCATGTGGCTGTTGAGTTCTGCTATGCGTCACAATGTAGAACTGTAAAGAAAAGTTTGTGTTAAGTACAAGAACTAGCGGCTGTGGAGATAAACCCTCCCAGCAGCCTGCCTTATTTCTCTGTTGGAGGCAATTATCACCTTGGAGCTAGGAACACTGCTCTCTGGAGCCGCAGATGTAGCGATCGTGCTGAGTGGCCACGTGCCCCGGGGTCCGTTCAGTATGTTCTGTAACTCCCAGGAGGTGTAATGCCTTCCAAACCACATGCCCACACATACTTATATATACAATGGCAGATAGGCGCTCACCGATCTGCTACAAGCGGCGCTCGACAGCGAGCTCAAAGGCACAAGGAGACGAATGAGTTCTGTGACCAATCAGTGAGTGCCTATCTGCCACCGGCTCCGCTAATGTCTCTAATGAGGGACCTGTGACGGATTTCGAAAAGTCAGGTGGATAAAAGTATTTTCCCAGCGATCACATCTTCCTCTTATCAATTGTGTATATTCCCAATCGAAAATGGCAAGGTAGCGAACCCGTGGCGCAGTGGTTAAAGCATTGGAATTCTAAATAGCAAGGTCGCTGGTTTGAACTTCGGGCGGGGTACCACCTAGGTTGGGTATGTCTGACTGAAGAAAGCTAATGAGCCAGAAATGGCCATTCCAGTCTCCCTTGTCTTTGTCCGTAATGTCATTCTGCCTCTACGTATATCTGTATACTGGTGAGGTTTTATTCACCGAGCAAGTTGCAGTACGGTTTACTCAAGTCCGCGGCTGGGGTGGGGCGGGTTCACAACGGTTACTAAAGCAAAAATGACCAAAACAGTCTCCGTTGTTGTTTTTCAGCTTCCTTTCTGCATTATTTATACATAAATGCTTGGAACATAACTTGCCTGGCTACCACAGTTATCTTCACTGTCTCCAGTTAGCTAACAACAGTGTAATCGCTCCCCGCGAACTTGTTGGTTTTGGGCCAAGCCCACGGTCAAATAACCTGTCCTACATCCTTTACATTTTCAGCTTATAATTGACGTGATTGTCAATCCACCAAAGAGGGGAGAACCTTCTTTCCAGTCTTTCAATGCCGAAAAGACCGCCGTTCTTGCCAGCCTTCGAAAGAAGGCGAAACTGGTGGAAACCCTCTTCAACGAACTACCGGGATTTAAGTGCCAACCTGTGATGGGTGCCATGTATGCCTTTCCAAGACTCCATCTACCTCAAAAGGCTCTTGAAGCTGCAAGGGTAAGTCACATCCCTGGCCAGTTAATTCCTTTAAATTCACTAAAGTGCCATCCACCTAATCTTCCTGCATTCTAAATTATTAACTTTATATTTGCCTAGGGTGCTCCCAGCAAGGTCATAATGTCTGCTTGCCGAAGGCATACCTAGTTTCACGCGGACATTTTCAACTTTCGTATAAGCTTTAAAAATATTTCACAAAGCAGAGTTCCATTTTTTTACCATTCGTGCCGTCGCTATTTACCAAGTAACATACTAATTTGGCATACCATTGTCCTGTCAAATAATACTCCCGTTTCTCCTGGTGTAGGAAAAGAGGATGCCCCTGGATACTTTCTATGTGACAGAGCTTTTGGAGAAGACAGGAATCTGCGTTGTGCCTGGGACAGGTTTTGGCCAAAAGCCTGGCACCTATCACTTCAGGTAAGCAACGCTTCCAACCACGTAAGCTGATATTATTGTCACGAAGAACGAGTCGAGTCGAGTCGAAGAACTTGACGCTACGGGACGTAAGAAGTTTGTTTGAAAGGGGTGGACGTGCGTGGTCAAAATGCTTGCTCGCCTGCACCCAACCTTGGGGACCGGCCAAGCCAAAACGTCTCTACCAAGGTGTTCGACGCGGACGATCTGAGAAAATCGAGGGACCCAAGTAACCCCGATTGGGGTAGCAGATGTTTTGACTTCCTCGTTAACTCGCTGCTGGTTGAGTGTGAACTCAAATCCTGCTTCGCAAAATCATCGAAGTACTCATATAGACCCTGGCGTCTGTGAACTCTGTGGCCATTTCTAAATCTGCCTGCATATGGGATAACAGCTCGGGACTTGACGAGTTCAGGCGCTCGGTCAATCCTAACAAT